ATTAGTCAGTCTTCTGTCACTTGTAACAGAATACCTGCAACTGGGTATTTATAAAGAAACACATTATTTCTTGTGGTTTGGGAGGCTGGGAAGTCCAAGTTCCACAGAGCACACCTGGTGAGGGCTTTCTTGGTAGGGACTCACCACAGAGTCCCATAGTGACACAGGGTGTCACATGGTGAGGCCCGAGCAAGAGTGCATTCCCACATGCTTCTTCCTGTCCTTATAAAGCCCCCAGTCCACTCCCAGATAACCTATTAAACCATAATCCATTAATCTACAAATGGATTAATCCATTCATAAGTGCACAGTTCTCACAATCCAGTCACCTCTCAAAGACCCCACCTTTCAAATACCACATCGAGGATGAAGTTCCAGCGTGAGCTTTGGGGGGGACGTTCAAACCATAGCACTCACAGAGCCAGAATTGACATGTCAGTGGTGCAGTATTCCCTCTGGAGGCTCTGGAGATGAAACTGCTTACAGGCTCATTTAGGTTCCTTGCATTCATAGGACTGAGGTCCCATTTCCTGCTGGCTGTCCATGTGGCCCCTTCTGCAGCAGTGCACCAAGCCTTCTCAGCTTGCTATTTTCCAACGTTCCCTTCTGCCACATCTCTCCTGGCTCTATCCAGCTAGAGGAAGTTCTCTGCTCATATGATTAGAGCAAGTCGACCTGGCCAATCTTCAAGTCCATAGCCTTAGCTACATTTGCTAAGTCTCTTTTGCTGTGTAAGGTCACATATTCACAGGTTCCAGGGTTGGTCGTGGATGTCTCTGAGGAGCCGTTCTGCCTCCTACACCTCCATTTTCTTGGCTCTCTGGGTTATATCTAGAGTACTTTCTTCAGATATATCTAATCTGTTACATTTTTATTTTTAAAAATCATTAGCTTATTTTTTAAAGTTCAATTTGGTTCTTCAAATCTTGGTGGTAACTGATAATTTTATCATCTTAACTAAATTTTTCCCATCTCTTAGTTTTTTATGCACTTCATGTATTATATCTAAATATCTGAAATGTTCCTTTATGTACTGGGCTCTTACTTGATTCAACTTTATATATTGTCTTCCTCTCAAGATTTGTGTTTGCTCCTGCTCATCTCTGGTTGTGCTAGTTAGAGGGTCCTGCCTCCAGGGTGTCTCCAAGTACAGTCCAGCTTACTTCTGGCCCAGGCTGCCTCCTCACCTCACTGCTGCTGTTGGCATCTGCCCCTGAGGGAGCCCTGCTCCGCTTCACCTCCTGCACGGGCAGAACCAGCAGTGCTTTTATAAAACTTGTAATACATTAGTTTACTCTTTCCCCACCAACCATATTATCTTCATCCTTATACTCCCAGCTTTCAGCACACAGTATAATAGCTGTCTGTTGAAAGAACAGGCCTGTAAGTTGTAAAAATGAGTGACTATAGTAAGCATGAAACTGACAGAGAAGTGTGCTTAAATTCAAAATATATTCTTTGTTTTAATAGTTGCATTAAAGAGCTGATAGGTATGTCAAAAAAGTTTGCTATAATTTTTCTGAGAAAATGTGAAAATCTTGGCATTTTGAAACATGAAGAATAAATGTACATGTGTTAATAGATAAATATCCTAATTTTAACTGTTACAGCCTTTGAAGAAGATGGTGGAGAGAATTCGCAAGTTCCAGATTCTTAATGATGAGATCATCACTATCCTGGACAAGTACTTGAAGTCAGGTGACGGGGAAAACATGCCCGTGGAGCATGTGCGCTGCTTCCAGCCGCCCATCCACCAGTCCCTGGCCAGTAGCTGAAGGTGCACCACTGTGCCCACAGCCTTTAGAAACTAACGTCATGGTTTTCTCATCATAAATGGTTTAGTGAGATTTTTAGGGACTATTTTTTTGAGTATCTCTATACCTGATAAAGGGGGTGTTTTTTTGATCTAAAAGCTTAATTTTATAAAATTGACTTATTTTTCTAGACTAAAATTGTATACGATTTTGTTAGTTAGGATGTCTAAGAATATTGGCTGCAGTGTTGCTGTCATGTTCTTACAGAATTATTTTCAGTTCTTCTATGGAAAGTTCCTGTAGGTAGCTGTGTCCTAAAATGCTGCTGAGCACATTCATTCATCCCTTAAGAAACGTACTACCAGTTAATTGTATTAAAATCCTTTACCAATTATCATTAAATTTAATGATTAACTATTTAGGTTTTGTTTAGGGATTTTTCTGATGGTCTTTTATGAACAATCTCTTCTAAATCAATCAGTGTTCCTGTTCCTTCTTTATGTCATTGTTTCAGAAAATAGTGAACTTGATTCCTCTGCTTTCATTAAATCCAGTTGTGATAAAATCTAATCTGTGAGGTATGATTTAAAGGTTACAGAAATAAAACTAATGAAATCTATTTGTGTTCATTCATTTTCTACAACCTTGTGCTCACTGGCTCAGGCAAGGTACTCTACCTGAGGTCACAGACTGGTCCCAGGTCAGAGGCTGGGTCACCCCCAGGATTACAAGGTGGGACAAGATCATGACACCTTTCAAAACACTGCTCTTCTCAGCAGTACACACTTGTAGCTTTACATTTAGGTTTCTGCAGGGATGAAAGGTAAGGCAACAGCCATGCTGGCTGCTCCATTCTAGATGTGATGGACACTCAGTGCCTCTGTGTTACATGCTTCCATAACCTGGTGGTCAGTAGTTTGAGAAAAGTAGACTGGCCTGGGACGGTGTGTGCTGCAAGAAGGGACTGAGGATTGAGTCCTCATCTCAACAGCCTCAGCTCTCCTTCCCAACTGCTGGTGAACTGTCTCATGGCTGGATTTGGCCCATGTGATCTCTAAATGAGAGTCCAGTCTACTACTGGAATCATGGAAATGGGTAAGAATTGAGAAACTAAAGCCAAATTTTAAAGTATTAGGAATATAAGTTTCTGAAAATCCTGAGTGATGATAATAAATTCTATGCCTGTCTGTTGTGACTGAACAATACAGATAGATACTAGACCAACATTAACTAAACTCACTTTATGTCTTGACCTGGCAGTCATTTCACATCTGGAGTATCACAATTTTCAGCAATCTTAAAACTTTTCTATGGATGCCATTTTCCCATTAAAAATTAGGAGTACCTTCCTTATGCCTTTGGAAACAACACCAAAGTCTAGGAGCACCATGCATAGTACAGAAATAAAGCACATGAACTATTGTGCTGTACTGTTAACCTTGAGTTACATGAAGTTTATTTTAACAACTATATTTTATAAAAGTTACCTAAAAATGTTGCTTTTAGTAATGTCAATTAACAACCCTGAGGCCAGCATTCTGCTACAGACTAAGAGGTGGTATTTGTTCTCACCCTGTAAAGTATGGCAAACAATGAAAAATTGACTAGTTTATATTACTTTTTTAAGGCTTAATTATATACCAAATAAAATGTAGTGCTTATGTACAAGATGACTTCAAGTACTATAAAATATTAAGTAATTAGAATTTATTAGCATTAACCTACACATTCTCAGGGTACTATCGCCCTCCAATGGGTACATAGCACAGATATAGTACGTAAGCAGATATAAAGCACATCTGTGGTATTAAAATGATGTGGGTAGAGATGGTTAAAAATGATATCTAAAATGGCTCCTTAGAGGGTCAATAATAAAGTTGAAAAAAAGGGAATTTACTCCATGAAACTTGGTAACTGTCAACTCTGCCCTGACAAAGTCAATCGAGTGTGGCATGGGATGTCAGCCCTAGAACCACATGGGGTATTGTGGGCCCAGTGGTGGCTCAGCCCTGATCCACCTGTGTCACTTCAGAAGTAGCAGACTGGGACATCCAAGCCCATGTTCTCCCTACCAGCCAGGTGGAAATTAATTCGCCAATACTTTTTTCTCAAATGTTAATCAATGGCTGAGTGGATAGGTTTTAAACCCTGGATGGGGTTTCATTACACTATTCTACCTTTTTTGCATGTTTGAAATTTTCCATAAAAAAATTTTTGTTGTAGTGGGTTAGAAATGATTCTCCTTTGATCTTAGAATAGGATTTTTAGGTAATGAATGAATGAGCCAAAAGGCTCTTGAGTAAGGGGACAAGAGTCCACAGATGTTTGGCAAAAGCCATCTAATCAATTGTAATCACTGTTTAGGGATGGGATTGTGTACTTTGACTGTTTTAGGTTGCTGGTTTGATTCTGGCTTGAATGACTATTGACTATTTAACCTACTGATTGTTCTTAAGATATGGTAAGGAAACTGCTTTAATGCTGTTTAAATATGCTAAGGAAAGTGCTATAGGAAGTATGTGGAAAAGAAAATGTTTACTAAAGACAAGCTGTTGGTAAATTAACCTAGTTTTTTTTACAAATTACATTCTGGAATGTCACTTTGTTAATTTACTGCTGTTACAAGTTTTACACAGCCTGTTTTTATGTCCTTCTTTGATGACTGAATCAACTGACTTTTCTTGTGAAACTTCCTTGTCTTGTCAATAAAAAGAAAGGCTGATTTTGAATTGGGGCTGCTCCCCTGATGGGTGGCAGTCCCTCCAGGCCTTATTCATGGTACTTTGAGTGAATTCTTTCTCTTTTTTCTGTCTCCATTACATAGAGGAAAGTGTAACATTTCACCATATTTTCTTTTTCTTTTTTTTTTTTTTTTTTTTTGTCCTTTTTGTGACCGGCCACACCGCACTCAGCCAGTGAGCGCATCGTACCGGCCATCCCTATATAGGATCCGAACCCACAGTGGGAGCACTAGCGCGCTCCCAGCGCCACACTCTCCCAAGTGCCCCACGGGCTCGGCCCGTCACCATATTTTCTGAAAGACCAAAATATACAGAAGTCCAAACACTTTTTTTTGCAGATGGTGGTACAGGCACTGAACCCTGGACCTTGGTGTTATCAGCACCACACTCTAACCAGATGAACTAACCAGCCAGCCCCAAACAAACTCTTAAGTAAAATACCTGGTATGAAGAGACCATATTTTACAAGCATTTTAAGTTAGTTCTAAGCATTCAGACTTAGAAATTTGTTTCAACTTGTCTTTTTATTATAACGTGAGCTAAATTTAAGAAATAACCTGTCTTCTGATTTTACTTCCCAGAGTTGTTAAAAGGTCTAAATGACAATTTAACTCATGAAAATATAGTGAAAAGTACAAGGACTGATGTAAAATGGTAATCAAGGTTCCAGGCATCATGGGATTAGAGTAACTAAAGCAAAACCCAGCCAGGGTGCAAAGTGGCCCTGCAGATGCAGGATGCGCTGACTCAGCAAGGTGCTGTCTCAGATGGCCGCCATATGCACGCAGACCAGATTCATGGTGACAAATTTCAGCCTGAGAAATATTTCCTTGGTGTGATTTCCTACCCTTTTTTGATCTATGAGTTTCTCTCATATAATAATTTAGGATTCCTTTAAACTAACATTTCAAAATTAAAATAATTCATCAAACAGGAGTCATTTTTATAGGAAAGGTAAATAAATCACAGGATAACATACTCAGATAATTTTGATCTTTTTTAAAATCGAAAAGCCTTATATGATCACGGATTGATGAAGTAGGGATGACAAATGTGTATTTCAGACTTTCATCACCAATGAAAAAATAAAGCATTTTTTATAGACTTAAAACTGTCAGTGCATTTGGATTTTGGAGAAGGAATCAAAATGTAAAGTACCTCCACAATAAGACAGTGTTAGTAGAAACTGGCCATATAATGAGGTCAAATTGTAAGTTACCACTGTTTAAATATAAGAAAAGTAATTTCTTGGTCCAAATTAGTGAAACTTTAGAAAAGATTGTCTTTAGAGAACATTATTTGAGGACAGTGCTTTTTTAGACACATTCTGATATTCAAATTCGCTTTGTACCAAAATCAGAGACTAACCATTTAATTACGTCTTTCTTAAAAAGTTGTCAGGTTTCCATTTCTTCGGGAGATATTTTCACCAGTGTGTTGTTCAATTCCACAGGTTAAGCTTTCTTCATTATTATTAAGAACTTCATACATACCAGAGAGACTGCCATTCACTGCTTTTTCATCTTTTCGAAAAGACACAGGCAGACTTGCTAGACTAAAGCTGACGTCTTTAAAGGCATGCAATAAGAATATCCCCACAATGATTGTCAAGAAGCCACTCAGAGTACCAATGACATCGTCAACAGGCATATCTTGCCACTCCTTAAAAAGAATAGCTGAACAAGTTAAAACTGATGTTGTAAAGAATACGTAATATATTGGAGTCACGATGGAGGTGTTGAATATATCCAGGGCCCTATTTAGATAATTAATCTGTGTGCTCACACAGATGATGAGGCTCAGCAGCAGGATCCAGGCCAGGGGATGCCGCACCACAGGCTTTCCAGCAAACAGCTCTTTGATAGCAATGCCCAGGCCCTTAACACAGGAGACTGAAAACGCTCCAATTACAGAGCAGATTGTTATGTACACAAGAATGTTTGTCTGTCCATGGCGAGGTCCCACCACGAAGATTAAAATCAAAGACACAATGACCACAAGGGTTGCAAAGACCACAAAACCTGGAGGAGGCAAAGAAAACTTATATTTAGTCAAATTTCTCCAATATTCCACAGAAGATCAAAAAAAAAATTATAATAAACTTAATAGGAAGAAAAGATATGGCCCCCAAATAAAAACCTGTGGAAGATATTGACTAAACAGTTATTAATGAAATAAATAATAGAAATAAAACGCATGTATTTTAGAGGACCAAAGTCCTTAGCATAGAAGGCCAAAGCCTCTAGTATAGGGGACCAAAGCCCAACCCTTTAGGAAAACACCTAGAAATGCTAAGATTGAGAAAGATCAGAAAACTTTCACAGGACTAAAGCCTTTGATATACATATGAGAATTGAAGTAGAACAGGGATTGTTCTGGGGACAGTTGCTCTTAGCTTAGCTAAACCTAAATGATGGGAAAGTGTGTAAGTTAAAATCTTCAAGGACATTCTGTTAGATTAATTATTGCTTGGGGAATGTTCCACATCTCACCCTAAGCTGTTTCTTTGAGTTTCTTAGGGAGTTAGGCACTTTGCTGATTATCTCATTGTTTCTTTTTGTATACGTCACATAGCTTAGTTTTATGACTCCTTTTGATGGTAAATTGCTTAAACTATTTTAAGTTACACATGCTTTAATGAAGATTGTCACATAGCCAGTTTGTTTATATTTTCACTATGATTAACCATCTGTTTTTGTTCTGAAACTTTTGTCTTTACAATAAAAACTGAAGCAAAAACTGACTTGGGGCTGAGCCTGGGCTCTCCTCTCTTGAAGCAGTTTTCCCTTGGTGCAGTCCCTTCAGGCTTCTCATTGCTCTGAATACATGCGCTCTAAGTAATCTTTTGTGTCTCCATCACTGTGAAAGGTGACAAAAACCAGCTTTCTTTTGCTGTCCCAGCAAAAGCACACCCACAAAAATTTAGTTAGATGGAAGATTAGAGTATGCTTCATATTCACAAATTGTTATACCACTAACATTTTTATTTTTTTATTTATTTTTTGTTTTTCAAGGAATATTTTTAATAACAAGATAGATAACATAGGCTTATCTAACGTAATTTTATGTCATTGCGCAAAAGCAAAACATCCTGTTCACTGGGCAAAAAGGACCTGCTTTTTGTGTATATGCTCAGTGCAGTTTAAAAAATACTGTAATTATATTTTCAAAACTTCAGATTTTGAATAGGTGCCAGTGTTCTCTCCTTTTTTCTTAAAGGAAAAGAAAATTCCTTTGAAAATCATTTGAAGCTTGGACAAAAATTCCACAGTTGTATTCCTCAGGATCACTCTGTAGAGTCTTTAAGATTCCTATGATACAAGAGAAGCTTCAAATCAACCTTTTAGAGAAGACATTCTGGCTCACATGATCTCATCAACCAGGAGGATGTTGGTGGCTATCACAGTGCAGGAGTGAAGAAGCTATTTCTTTACATAGTTGTTATCCCATATGCCTACTTCTGCTGGTACTATTGACTCACCTGTGTTCAAGTCCACACCCACAAGTTGACCTGATTCTGAATGTTCTGCTTGAATTTTAACTAATGTTTCCTGAAGGTCAAAACCAGAGTTCTGAGCAAGAACCTACAGTAAACATATTTAATGCTTGAAAAGAAAGGATCTAAGCATTGATGGTGAAGTCTACAATAAATGAACAGTATTTTCTTTTTTTTCCTTTTTGTCTTTTTTCGTGACCAGCAACAGATCGCAACCCTCAGTGTCGTGCCCGTACCGGACCGGGACCAGCAACGGGATCGCAACCCTCGGTGTTGCTCCCGCACCTTGCTCAGCCAGTGAGCGGCCGGTCTGTATGTGGGATCCGAACCCTCGGCGGGAGCGCCGCCACGCTCCCAAGCGGTGCACTGTAGCAGTGCGCCACCGGGCTGGCCCTAAATGAACAGTATTTTCAATTAATTTAAAACTATACCTCCAAATGAGTACAAAAGACTACATTCATCTATTTAAAACAAAAACAAAAAGCAAGCTTGTACTCAAGTATAACCCTTATGCTGCAAATATTCTTAAAAGTTATCTCTTGCCATCTGAAGCTTTGGATATTCAAGCCTCCTAAGAGGAACCAAATACATTTAGATGATCAAACTCATATATCCGAAATCCTCATTATGAACAAACCTACATTATCAAAATGGTTTAGCATAGTCTAGAAAATTCACTGTTAAAAGTAGCCACACCTTGGGAATAATGAGCAATGCATCAGCAAATGCTTGGATTCCCAGTTGGGCCCTCCCCTTCATACTGGGCTTATGTTTAATCAGGGCTTCTGCCATTGCCACTTCCACTGCACCAGCACCTGGAATCACACAGCCATCATCAATAGCATTTTTGACAGCCCTCAAGCCACCTCTTATTGCGTCTTTGATTTGAGTGATTGTGTGCTTATTTGGTCCTTTGATCAATAATGTGACAGAGCAAGGATTGTTACATTTCTCAATAAAGGTGAACGTCTCTTCTCCCAATGTATACTTATAGACAAGTCCTGTGTGTCCCAAAGAATCAGGATTTAGGTCATCAAAAGAATTTAGAGCTACCCCACCGCAAGCAAGAGTCAGCCTCTCCATACTTCTTTTAGCTCTGCGCAGAGCTACTATGCCTTCCTTTGTGAGAGCATCTAAGGAAAGAGGGTCAATTCCTTTTTGATTAATTACAAATCCTTTATCCAAATCACCACAGACTTTCTTTTTCAGTTCTATTATTTTTTAACTCTATCTTCAATGAATTTTCTTTCAGCTTTTACTAGTTTTTCTCTCTCTTCTGCACTCTTGTAGAAAAAGCTAGAATTCGGGGCCGGCCCGGTGGCGCAATGGATAGTGCGCCGCTTGGGAAGCGCGGCGGCGCTCCCGCCCGAGGGTTCAGATCCCACATGCAGACCGGTTCCCGCTCACTGGCTGAGCGAGGCACGGGAGCGACACCGAGGGTTGCAATCCCGTTGGCGGTCCCGGTCCGGTCCGGGGGCGACACTGAGGGTTGCGATCCGTTGCCGGACACGGAAAAAGACAAAAAAAAAAAAAGAAAAAGCTAGAATTCACTTGTTTTTTCATATTCTAATGACACATTACACGTGAGGATATAAGCATCTTCTACTCTTTTCTTCATGTGAGGATACCATGCCCCACAGTCTAAAACAAGCCCTCTGATTAAGTTTGTATCAGTTTCAGATTTATATTTCATTTCCATGATCTCAATCATGAAAAGGTCAATAGGTTCATCTTGTTTTATAATGGCCAAAATGGAGTCCACTACAGCCTCTGTTAAGACATCTGCAAGTTCAGCATGAACTTTAGTACGAAGAGATGTTCTGGCCACATCTATAAAGTGTTTCTCTGTCCATCTCTCTGCTTACTTTGACGTGTTCCAAAAATTGAAGGGCTTTTTCTTTTGCAGCTTCAAATCCTTCAGTGATTATTCTGGGATGAAGATCTTCTGAAATGTAGGGATCCACCTGTTTCAGCAGCTTTCCAATGATAAGGACATTGGAAGTAGTACCATCACCAGTTATGTCCTCCTGGGCTGTTGCTACTTTTGCTATTAAGAAGGCTGTTCGATGTTGAATTTGCATTTTGTGCAGGAACATGTTGCCATCTTTGGTAAACTTGATGTCTCCAGCGCCAGAAACGAGCATCTTCATGGTGCCCTCGGGCCCCAGGTTGGTCCTCAGCACATCCTGCAGCCCCAGCGCCACGCTGATGTTGACCGCCAGCGCCACCTGGGTGCGGGCCACCTCGGCCTTGGGGTTCAGCATTTTCATGGCCGCCATGGTTGACCCAGCTGAGGAGGAATACCAGAGACCACTAACATTTTTAAAGCAGCATCTTATGTCTACTTAAGTGTTCTGACTCACAAGGCAAGGGAGACAGGTGCAATTGGAACAGGGACAGAAACTAGTGGAGGAGAAATTATGAGATGCTTTTGAATATTCAAGAACTTATAGATGCTAAAATTGAACAGAGGAGTTATAAATCAATTTTTCCCGAAAAGTGGTAAAATTGTCTAACATTCAGGGACAAGAGCTGGAGTAAACAGTAAGTAAGAGAACTTGAGGAGCAGCTGGCAGCTGGCCAATTAGCTCACGCAGGAGAACATGGTGATAACACCAAGTTCAAGGGTTCAGATACCCCTACTGGCCAGCTGCCAAAAAAAAAAAGACAGAAATTGAAAAATACTGTTGGGGTTCTGGCTGAATATGGGGAATTGAAACCAGCATGATAATAGCTAATAATTATGTGGCACTACGGGCCAGACATTTTTTGTTTTTTGGTAGCTGGTGGGCACAGGTATCAAACCCTACACCTTGGTGTTATTAGTACCACACTCTAACCAGCTGAGCTAACTAATCAGACCTCAGCAATTTTGCACTCAACCTTACTTTATGTAGCAATTTGCACTCAACTGCTCTCTTACACAGATACTACCATCTGCATCTTAATATGAGGAAACTGAGGCACAGAAAAGTCACATGAATTTACTCTGTTCCTTACTCAAACTCCACTAAGAAAATATATAGTAATAGGATTTTTAAAGAAGCAAATACACAAAAACAAGAATAAGAAAGGAGATGATAGCAATAGAAAGCAGAGGATAACTAATAATTGATATTACAGATCCAAGAAAGTGGAATCTTACAATAGCGGTGATCAAAGATTAGAAAGCAACACAGTTCACAGCACAGAACATGCAAAAAGTACAAAATGCCTCTGAAGAAGGGTGAAGACAAGACTGAAGACAAGGCCCAGCTGAAAGCCCACTCAAGAAGCAATGAGACCCTAGACCCCTGCCCAGTTCTGCACATCTGGGTGACTGCCCTCCATGCTGCAGGACTCTGAGGCAGCTGAGCATGTCGATGCCCAACTAAAATAGGGGGTTGGAGCAAGGTGTGCATTTGGGTATTAACCTCTTTCTCCCTACTCAACTCCCAGTATGCCAGAGGCCAGGCAGAAAAATGGAAGGTTCTTTGCTGTGGATCTGACCAGCCTGACTTTTAAATAAAGGTAGGCAACCAAGGACCACCAGGAGAGAAGCCAAAACAAACAGAAAAAAGCAAAGCCTTTTTTTCCTTCATGTAGACAGAGGAAAACTTCAAAATAACCACTTCCTCCAAAATAAGAAAAACTACCATTAATATCCTCAGAGAAACAATGATGAAATACCAGACTAACCTTGCACTCAAAACAACTGCAAATGATGGATAAACTACAAAAACAAAAAATCCCCAAACAAAAACATTTATTTGAAGAGCAATCAAAGCCAGAACTTAAAGGGCCAAAATACAGAGAAATGGGAAAAATCTGCCCAGCACTCACCTCTGCACTTCTTCCCTCAGGGCAACTGTCAACACAGGGGGCAAGGATGAGCATAAAGGCCAGTGGAAACTTACGATCTCACAGTGGACTAGGTAAAAACAAGCAGGAATTTGGTGCTGCATAAGCAGCTGGGACTTAATGGGCCAAGATCTAGAAAGGCGGGAACTGCAGGGCAATGAGCCCAAGTTTCTGTGTGCAAGTCCTCTTCTGGTGTCTGTGAGCACATAAGCTGCATAGCTGAAGTTAGACAAGCCACAGGAAAGCCTGGCCAGGATGCCACAGAGCTGAGTAGGGGTTTTCTTGTCTTGAGGGAATGAAGACCTAGATGCTGGCTCCACGGATGGAGGGGCCCAAGTCAACATCCCGAACTACCACTTGAGAGCCAGAGGGACTAAGTACAAGAATAAAGGCAAACTGGAAAGAAACCAGACCCAGCAAAGCATAAAATGACACCTTCGAGGTGAAGGTGATCTATTGTACTCTTATCTGCGTGCCAGAGGGAACTGAAGTTCTCTCTGAGAAAAGAAAACATCATAAGGAACCTTTACACTTTTTAATATCCTAGGTCCAGTATTCGATCAAAAATGCCAAAAGACAAAACTAAATGCCTGAAACCAAAAGAAAAAACAGATCATAGAAACAGGCCTACAAACAATCCTAATACTGACGTTGTGGAGGTAGAGATAACCCCCAACCTTTTTGGTAAACAAAACCAGGTGCTTAAGACCTTCCGTCTCCAGAAGATTAGGACTTTCCGCTGCCAGGGGGAAGGGACTTTCCAAAGAGCCCAAAGTTCACCCTGTTCCAGGAAGGGAGTATGATCACCTGATTACCTTATTTTTGGACACCAAGGGAGGAAAGAGGGGGGTGGACCATTGGTCAATACCTCAGTCCTTCCTTTGCCCGCCAAAAGCTAAAAGCCCAATGGTTTTAAAAATTGCTTAAAGTGGCCAATAAACGGCGTACAACCCAGCCTGTTACCAAAGCCTGCCTAGCAAACTGTATAAAAGATGCTTGAGTTAAGAGCTCAGGGCCACTCCTGTCCTGAAAATGGGGTGACCTTCAGCATGCTGAAAATAAAGACCTCTTGCGTTATTGCCTCGAACTCTGTCTCCTGGTCTTTGCGAGATGAGCCTTCCCAACAAGTAATATTTGTGCTTTTGGGCCAGTCTTACAACGTCAACCTGTAAAAAGACTTTAAAATAACTAAGATTCAAAGACAAAAGCAAACTCTTGGAAATTAAAAATATAACAGCAGAAATAAAAACTCAAAAGAAGGGCTTGAAAATAAAACTGAGGAAATCTCCCAGAAGGCAGAGCAAAAACGAAAAATTAAAACGGGGAAAAATGTAAGAAAATTAATGGTCTGGTTCAGAAGGTCCAATCAACAGATAAATTTCACAAAGAGAAAACAGGGAAGAATGTCAAAGGGGTAATTCAGTTCTGTTCCCCAGAGTAAGACATGAATTTTGAAATTAAAAAGACCCACCAAGTACCTAGCACAATGGACAAACATGGACCCACATCTAGGCATGTCAGTATGAAATTGCAGACACCAAGGGCAAAAGGAACAACCTAAATGCTTCCAAAGACCAAAAAATCAGTCACATATAAGAGATAAAGAATCAACTGCTTTTGATTTCTCAACAGCAACACTGGAAAGGAGTAGACAATGGAGATCATGGTAGGTTAAAGACACTTTGGGATACAGGAGGTTTCAACAAGTCCCATCTCCTCTTTGCCCTTTCTTATCTCCTCCTAGAGTGACTCCATCAAAATGGAGGTGCAAATCCAGGATTCAAGAAATAAAGAGATCCAGGAAAAAGTGAGAAGTGAAGGGAATGCCCAGGAGAATACAGGATGGCAACTGCTCTGGCATTCTCAAGACGCCGGTCTAGACTGAGGCCAAACAGAGGGCCCTAGAAGAGAAATCTTGAAAAGAAATGAAACCAAGAATACCTAATATGTTTGAAATTACTGAGAGTAGAATTAGACAACTAGGGAAGAATTCTAGGATGAACTGATAAATTCACAGAAAACTGAGCAAACAAGATAATTATTAGTTCAGGAAAATCACAAGTCATACAAGAAAGGAAAAGTAGTCATAATATGACTAAGATAAAGGTAGTGATGATAATGTAAACAAATAATTTAAACGAAATTACATAGGTACAATAGATGACAGATATAAAAGTTGATGCCTAAAGCCAAAGAAGTAGTAGCAATACAAACACGTTATTTAGAAATACAGAGTTTAAGAACAAAATAGGGGTATGGGTTGGGAGGGGAGGGATGGAAGGGAACATGACTACTATGTTTCATAATAAGCCATGTAGAACAATTAATGTGCACATAAAATTTTGACTAAAGTAAAAACTAACTTAAAAAGTAAAATGCAGTAAGACTAATAAAACTTTTCTTTTTTCTTACCTGGATCACCTAGCTTGTGAGACATTTCATTTAAGGTCTCAATCTCCTCTTCTTTCGGAGCATGAATGACCATAACTGTAGATCCTAGAATACTTAGCAAACATCCAATTTTCCCATGAAGATTAAGTCTTTCATTTAGAAAGTATGAAGAAAGAATGGCACTAAAATGGGGAGAAAAAGAAGGTTAAGAACTTTAAAATAATCACTTACTTTTCTCATTTTTAAATATCAACACAACTCGTAATTTAAATCATTGAACTCTAACTAAAACTGAGTTTAAGATTCTTTCTTTCAGCCAAGGTAAAGAAAATGTACATTCAATCACAAAATGAAAATTTCTAGGTTATCACCTTCATCATACACTAAACCTGTATATCTACCATCTTTCTACTGTAAGAAGTCACTATGAAATTTACAATAAAAAGAGCAACAATTAGTACAAATTTATGTTCTTCTTTTTTTTTTTTTTTCCTTTTTGTCTTTTTTACTGGCC